TGGAAGTTTCTAAATTTAGCAGGATCTTTGTGATTGGAATAGTTTTTGATGTCTGTAATACTATTTGTTTCTCAGAAAAAATGACATAAATTTCAAATATCAAGCTTTATTACAATAATGTTTTGAAACTTGATCTTTGAAAAGTATCATTCTGTCCTTGGATATTTTAAGTAAAGTGTTTGTGGATGCCTTAAACCAAATAAATCAAATAAACTATTGTCATTCTTCAAAATATGTTCATTGATTTTGTTGTTTTAGAGGATACCAGTGGATGTAACACAATATCTTTTATCTTTTCTGTTTCCAGCATTTACTAAATTGATCACAGTGAATGGGCAAGATTACCATCTGCAGCTTGTGGATACAGCTGGACAGGTAAGGATGAACCTAGTCAGAGTGAATACAGACAGGTATCAACCTGATTTATCTAGTGCAGTGCAGCTTCAGTGCAACTTCTTTATTATGACAGAAGATTGTAACCAAAAAAAGAAGCTGACTCCACACTTGTAGAGTTAGTGAGTTGTTGGCAAGCCTAATTCGAAAAGGGAGAGAGGCAGAGAATGGGAAACTGTAGACCGGTTAGTTTAACGTGTAATTGGGAAATTGTTAGAATCCATATTAAGGAAGTAATAGCAGCATGTTTGGAAAGTCAAAATGCAATCCGTCAGAGTCAGCATGGATTAATGAAGGGTAAATCGTGATTGATTAATTTGTCGAGTTCTTTGAAAAGAGGCTAGTGAGGATCCTGACGATGTGGTATATCTGGACTATCAGAAGACATTTGGCATGATGCAGCATAGAAGGCTAATACCCAAGTTTAAGATCGCGTAGAGTTAGGGGTCATTTATTAGAGATTTGGCTAACCAGCAAAAAACATAAATGGGACATTTTCAGGGTGCCAAAATATAAGTAGTGGAGTGCCATAGGAGTCAGTCCTCAGGTCCCAACTATTTACAATCTAGTCAGATTTACAGATGGCACAAAAATAGATGGGAAGGTAAGTTGCAAAGACAGAATAAGAAATTTACAAATGGATATGGATAGATTGGGTGAATTGGCCAAAATTTGGCTGATGCAGTTTAACGTGGATATGTGTGAGATTACCCATTTTGGTCAGAAGAATAAAAAGACAACTTATTATCTAAATAGAGAGAAACATCGGAGTGCTTCAGTGCAGAAGGATCTGGGTGTTCTCATGCAAGAGTCACAGAAATCTAGTATACTGATGCAGCTGACATTTATTGCTGAAGGAAGAGAGTACAGAAGTAGGCAAGTGTTCCTTCAACTGTACAAGGCATTCCCTTGACCACACCTGGAATATTGTGTACAATTTGGACCTTTACTTGAGGAATGTGCTTGCATTGGAGGGTCACTTGATTGATTCCAAAGATGAAGGGTTTGCCATATAAAGAGAAATTGAGCATTTTAGGCCTTTACTGTCTGGAATTTAAAAGAATGAGAGGAGATCTAATTGAGGTATATGAGATGCTGAAAGGGATTGACAAAGTATACGTAGAAAGGATGTTTCCCCACGTGGAATAATCCCGAATAAGAGGTCATTGTTTTTGGATAAGAGGTAGCAGATTTAAAACTAAAATGAAAATCTGTTTCTCAAGGGTCATGAATCTGTGGAATTCATTACCCCACCGAGTATGGTGGATGCCAGGACAGTAAATAAATTTGAGGAGATAGACAGATTTTCAGTTAGTAATGGATTGAAGGGTTATGGAGTGTGGGCAGGAAAGTGGAGTTGAGGCCAAAGTGAGATCAGCCATTAACGTATTAAATGGTGGAACATTCTCGGAGGGGGCTGAATTGTCAACTCCTACACCTCGTTTTTATGTTCTTAATTTTATTGTCCTTTAGGAGAGGAAAACTGCTGTCCTTACTTGGTCTGACCTACACGTGACTCACAGCAATTTGGTTGACTCTTAACTTCTCTCTGAAATGGCCTAACTGGTTATTCATCTATATCAAACTGCTTTTAAAAAAAAAAAACTTTCAAAAAGGAATTAAATGGGAGGGACAACCTGGCATTGACTAAAGCACTAAATACTGCGAAGGCCCTGTAAAGTCGCCCTTACCAGCACTTTGGGACCAGTGCCAAAATTCGGAAAGCAATCTCACAGACTAGTCCAAATGCAATAGTGTACAAGTTTGGGCTGCCAGGTGACAAGTAACATTCTTGCTACACAAGGTCTAGGCAATGACGGTCATCAATAAGACAAAATCTGACCATTGCTTTTTGACATTCAAAATGACAATCACAAATGGCATGATTTTGGAAATCCGGCATGATTTTGGAAATCCAACATGATGCTTTCAATATCTAGCTTGTTTTATTTGCAGCTTATTTAATTGAATTTAAATTCTCCAGCATCCATGATGGGATTTAAACAGACATCTCCAATATGCTACATTCTTGATGTGCCTTGGGCCCTCTGCACTTGTCGTCCTTGCCGGAATTTGCTGATCTCCTTCCTGTGCTAACTGCTCAATTTGTCTGTAGGAACAAATTACTGCAGATCATTAGAATCCCTACAGTGCAGAAGCAGGCCATTCTGTCCATTGACTCTGCACCAACCTTCAGAAGAGCATTCCACACAATCCCACCCCCCAACCCTATTCCCATAAGCCTGCATTTCCCATGGTTTACCTACACATCCCTGGATACTATGGACGATTTAGCATGGCCAATCCACCTAACCTGCACATCTTTGGACTGTGGGAGGAAGCTGGGGTAACCAGAGGAAACCCACGCAGACACGGGGAGGATGTGCATATTCCACACGGCCACCCGTGGGTGGAATCGAACCCAGGTCCCTGGCGCTGTGAGGCAGTGGTGCTAACCACTGAGCCATCATGCTGCTCTGTGCTGGAATCTGTACTGAAAACAACAAATGCTGGAGATCACAGCAGGTCAGGCAGCATCCATGGCGTTCGCTCTCTATCTATAGATGCTGCCTGATCCACTTTGGATCTCCATTTGTTTTTTGTCCAAAACTCTTGTCCACATTCTAACTAACAGCAATTCACACACCATTTTTGCCCCTGTCCTTGCAAACCACTTTCCACGTTGTTTTCAAATGTGCTGATGTCTTTGTGTCTCACCGTTCGCCTTGAAAAGGTTGGTTCAAGAGAGGAGTCCTTACACGTTTCATCTTGGCTATTTTTTTCGTTCAAATTGTTTGGTTTTTACAACAATTGATTTTTGTTATATGGTTGCTATTTGGCTGTCTTTTATTTTCAGAATTCATTGAATTCAAAATTCACCATCTGCCACAATCAGATTTGAGCTTATGTACCAACAATATTAGCCTGGATATCTGGTTTACTACTCCAGTGATATTGTTGCTATGGCACCACTACCTCTATAATGCTGGTGGAGTTCCCTTCTCATTCCATTGTGGATATACCTTCTCCAGATGACCTGCAGCAGGTCAAGAAGTTGGCTCACCACTACTATTATTAAGGATAAGATACAAATGCTGGCTTTGCCAAGTAAGTGTTTGCCCCACTACAGAAAGAAAATGTAGGCTAGAGGATGACTTCTGCCTAATTTGAGAGATCAGTGTGTGGAAATATGGGTAGAGGTTGAACAGGAATCTAACATTTCAGTCGTTCTGTAATATTCTGTGTAATATAAATGTGTAGGTAGGGGTCCCTCTTGTGGTGCAGAGGTAGTGTCCCTACCCCTGGACCGAGAGACCTGAGTTCAAGTCCCACCTGTTCCAGAGATTTGAAATAACATCTCTGAACAGTTTGATTAGAAAAATAGGTTAACTAACTAAAAAATAAAATGTACTGGTAGGGGTATAGGTAGTGTCCCTACTTCTGGATCAGGAGACCTGTGTTAAAGTCACACTTGCTCCAATGGTGTGTAATAACATCTTTGAACAGGTTAATTAATGGGAAAAGTGTAAATGTTAGTTGGTGGGGCTTTTGTGGTGCAGTGGTTGTATCTCTACCTCTGAGCTAGAAGTTGCAATTTAAGTAACACCTGATCCAGAGGTATGGATCTCTGAATAGGTTGATTGGTAAATATCTAAATGTGTCGTTATTGAGATGTACTTCTGAATGTATTAAGCACTCTAAAGGATGCTGTGAATTATCAAAGCAATGTCTGTTGGCACTAAAAACATTTCACTTGAGTTTTTGTGTAGAAATTCATGCAATTGAACTTGCAAGCCATGACCTAAAGCTTCGCTAGGTCTCTGTGGTTACAGTGTATTAGTAATGTTGTATAATGAGAACTTATTACCCTGACATCTGCCACCTTATGTCTTTTTTAATTATTAGGATGAGTACTCTATTTTCCCTCAAACGTATTCCATAGACATTAATGGATACATTCTCGTATATTCAGTTACATCTAACAAAAGGTAAGGATTTTTATTTAATGTTGTTTCTTATCAGTCAAGCAACTGCATTGGCTTTTGAAGGTATATTGCTGCTTCAGAAGGCAGCAATGAGCCACTTTGCAACACACACTGT